TTATATGCTGCCTTATTTTACATTCTATTTACCTGGTCTCATTAGACCAAAGGCATCTATTTGCTTAAAGGTGAATTGGAAATATTTTACAGAAATCAGGGTGAGAAGAAATCTATGAATATTAACTTGTGATATATATATATATATATATATATATATATATATATATATATTTAAAACTCTCAGTTATAAGATAGTGTTAAAGTCTATCAAAATAAGACTTTTGAGGGGGGTAATGGGATTGGATCTACGGGTGCTTAACAACTGAACCACTCACAGCCCTTTTTATATTTTATTTATTTTCTATACCCCTTGGCTCCCTCAATCATCAGAAAAAAGTGGAAAAGGACAACCAACTGATTAAAATCACCTTGGAAAAACTGCCACCCTCCCCCAAACGCTGGTGACAGCTTTGACCTACCGGTCTGTGAAGAATCAGAATTGCCCCAAAGCTTCTCTCCAACTGAACTATTATGAATATTGTGTGGGAGGCCATTTGTGACCGCAGACCTCGTCACTGACCCTAAGAGACAAGCGGTGGTCAGATATATAATGGATTTGGAACAGGTGCAAAAGGCCTTTGGAGTTCAGAAGTGAAGTCCTCCCAGCTCCTGGCTCCAGCCCTGCTGCTCCACAAATTCACCCAGGCGACCTTATTGTTTGTGCTTTTAATTTATTTTTATTTATTTTTTGGCACCGGGTTTTGAACCCAGGCGCGTTTTAACCCTGAGCTACATCCTCAGTCCCTTTTAGTTCTCTTCAGTCAGGGTCTGGCTAAGTTGTGAGGCTGGCCTCAAACTTGTGATCCTCCTGCTTCTGCCTCCTGATTGGCTGGGATTACAGGGGTGTGCCACCACACCTGGCTGACTTCCTTCTGTAAAGACTTGGAAAAGCGACTCCCACACCAACCTGTTACTCCCTAAATGGGAGGACTCCTGCCAGGTCCTAAGCACCTGAGGGTTGTCAGATTCCAGGGACAGACATGATGGGCCCACTTTCCAAGGATAAAACCTGCCCCTCCTGGGGTTTTACAGCCCAGGACCACTTGCCACCAGGAAAAGAGAAAAAGGATGCGTGTTCTTGTGAGCTTCCAGGAGATTATGGGTCCTTTTCAGAAGAAGCAGGGTCCCGTTTAAGCTGCTCCTCTATGTACCACTTACCAGGAACCTTGCTCCTTTCTGCCCTAGTGGGACTTGCCCTTTTGGCTGTGGGGATTATTCTGTTCCGTGAGGAACCCACCCCTGGCTGAGGGTTGGCTTTCTCTTGGCCTTTCCTGTCCTCTTACTCCTCCCCTCTGGCTGCCTGCTGGAGCTGCTGTAAAGCAACCATATGCAAGGAGTAACCACTAGATGGCAGCACACACCCCTAACTGCGCTCCTCTTGTTTCTCCCCCTCTCTTCACAGGTGGAGACAGAGTGAGAGGGGACAGTCTTCCTGCTGGATTTGCCCTCATCAACTCACTCTGGCAGGAGACACCAAGCCAATATTGAGGGTATTTGGGCAAATGAGACTAACGTGATTCTAAATCTACCTTTTATGGCTAAAGCCACCCATCCAAACCCAAGAATTAAAGCTCATCTTCAATTTAGCCTTTGGCTTTGTCGCGATGAACTAATGTAGCTGAGCACAATTTCAGCCACTTCGAGAACCCTAGATGTGAACCTTTGAAATTGGGCTTCATTTGATGGTGATAAATACCTCTGGTAACTTCTTTCCCTGCTGTAAAGTTGTAGATTCCTGCTGTCACAATCAGTGTACTTGGTCAAGCTGCATAAACACCCTGTCGGCCGTCATCATGTGATGCAATTGGATTTTCTGAGTGTACCTGTGTTCCACCTGCTTGGCTGTAAAACCACATGGGAGATTTGCCGCCATTGGGGAAAATGGGTAAACATTAGCCAAAGAGTATTAAAGTCCTTCTTACAAAGAGGCCCTTGTGTCCTTTAAGCAAATGGACTAATCACACCTGACTGGATCCTAAGATAAGATAGATGCTGTTCCTGTACCCAGGCTTGGGTACTTAGTGGGTTCCATGAATGGACATCCCTATTCTGAGGAACTTCATCCATTATCAACCCCTACTTGTGAACATTAATTCCCCTAAATATCATAATGAGAGAGAAATATAGACCACCCATAAGTGGCCAGGAAAAGTGTCTCAGAGAAAACGGGAGGAAGAGACCATGCCATCCTAGCCTGGGGGATGTATTGTTGCCGCCCTTGACAGCTTCAACTGCAACAGCTCGCCTTGAGTTCCTCCTCCCGCTATGCCTAATAACATAAATCACATAATACCTTCTCTAAGCCACTTCCTCTAGTGCCAGGAAACCCTCACCCCTACCCTTATGCTAGGAAAGGCTTAAAAACTATTGTCTCTGTGTTTGTTGAAAAAGACCAAATAGAGTTGATGAGCCCCCTTTTAAATCCTGTTTTCATGTCATCTAACCAATCACCTATAGGGACAGATCAAGTTCATAATACCCTAGACAACAGCCACCCATTGGCTTCCCTCCCTCTTTGGGAGCTCTGCCTTTTCTCTTTCTATTACCCAATAAACTTGTTGCTTTGCTCTGGATCCGTTGGGTCCACAGATTTCATTCTTAGAATTCATGAAACAACCCGGACCCATGCTCTGTGTTACAATAGCCCAGTCTTTCTAACTGTGGAGCTGCTCAGCTTTTGAATAAACCCACACACAGCTTGGAATGTGTACTTTGCACCTTGCTATAAAGCACTTCCTTTCTTCCTACACATTGGACTGTGTCTAGCCCAGAAAGAGAAGGCACTGAATTCCCCCTTGTGCTTCCTGCAGCCCTTTCCTGTAGGTGTCCTGCTGCTGCTAAGCACAACACCAGAGGGCGAGGTGACAGTGAGAAGCTGCAGAGCTCTGGGAAGCAGGAGCCCCCTTGTAGGTGGACTTGGGCCTCTTCTTTTCTGAGGTTGAGACTCTTGTTAAACTGTGGCTGCTTTGGAGATTTGGGATGAGTAGCTTCCTGGAGTTGATCTACAACTTGTCCATGTGAAGGAAATGTATGAGGAACAAGATTAGAGAAAAAGATTGAAAGATCTCCTGGAGAGAGGGTCATGAAAGTGAGTCAAGGTGAGAGTGTCTATGGTGAATATTCAGGTTTTGAAGGATGGAGAGTTTGCACACCATGAAGAGGGGGCAGCCCGGCATGGTGACTCCTGGTGTGAACTCCTTAAGCATCCTGTGTCAGCACCCAGGAGTGTCCCTCTCCAAAAACTTGGATTCAGCAAGCTGTCATTCTGGCCCTCAAGCTAGAGTGTAAGTAAGGGTTCTGGCTGTGAAAATGTACAAAGCAGCATTCCTCTGGTAAGCAAACTCCCGGAGGGTCACAGGCGCCCTGTTTTTCCACACTTGGACTATTCTGCAGTTTCTCCCTGGAACTAGTAAATTGACTAATACATGCTTAATGTCTAGCTGCTCTGGTAATGTCCTTCATGAGGAGGCTCTATGCTAGAGTCTTACCAGCCTCGGCCTTGATCTCAGACACTCAGCTTTGGGAACAGAGGAACTCTCTTAGACAACACCAATGTGTCACTGCGCCTAAACCTGCCCAAATAACTGTAACTTTATAGACTGAGCAATAGGCTCTAATGATGCCAATGACCTAATGTAACCTATGGATATAAGTAAAGCTGGAAGCTCAGACGAGCAGCCTTTTTACTCTGCCCCTGCACCTTGCTTCTGTCTCTTTTTGTTTTTCTTTTTTTTTTTTAATATTTATTTTAGTAGAGAAAGAATTTTAATATTTATTTTCTAGTTTTCAGCGGACACAACATCTTTGTATGTGGTGCTGAGGATTGAACCCGGGCCGCACGCATGCCAGGCGAGCGCGCTACCGCTTGAGCCACATCCCCAGCCCTGTTTTTCTTTACAGAAATATTTTTAATCTTCTGAATCTAAGCTTTTCTTATGGCCTCATGTGGAGCAGGCTGGTTTCTGAGTTCAAATGTTTCTTCCTATTCCCTCTTGATTCCTTTGTAGAACGTTGCTTCCATATAGCTCCATTGCCCCCTGAATTGAATAACTGTACTTCCCTGTAGGTATGTTTTTATATTTTTAGGCGAAAATGGGTAGATAGACAGCAAAGGCATACGAAAGCCTTGGCTGTGAAGCCAGCTGTCTCATCCCAAATGTCTCACCTCTGACAATACGAGGCACTACCTCACTCCCTTCTGTTCCATTATGTCCTGGCAATCTGAGTAGATGACCTTTTCTTTTTTGGTACCAGAGATTGAACCCTGCGATGCTTAACCACTGAGCCACCTCCCCAGCCCTTTCTTTCTGTTTTTATTTTGAGACAGGTTCTTGCTAAGTTGATGAAGGTGGCTTGAACTTGCAATCCTCCTGCTTCAGCTTCCAGAGCTGTTGGGATTCAGGCGTGTGCCACCGCTCCTGGTAAGATGTCCTTTTCTGAGGTGGGGTCTTATCTCATGGGACATTGCCTCTGGAACTGCCTAAGTACACTTGTTCCCTCAATTACAGGGGCAAAAAACAGGAAGAGCCCACCTAATACAGTGAGAAGACAACACCAGTTTTGAAAGGCCAGGATTGAGTTTTGCTTAAACAATTAAATCCCAATTTTTCAATTCTACAATGAATTTAATTTAATTATAAATAACAATTAATATCAGTTAATACTATTAATATCTTATATGGTTACATTTAAAATGCTCTTTTATAAAGTTATATTACATATCATTTACCATATTCAGGTGTTCCCAGACCTGGGAGGTTGGATCTAAATGGATACATGCAATTATCCCTCACGTTAAGTCAGGTCCAGGCCCTGGGAAGTTGCTGGGGCTGGGAAGGGCAGGAAACCATCTCTTGGGTTCCATTCAGCCAGGTAGAGGTTCTATCCTGCTGTCACTCAAGATTCAGGGGCGGGGCCTGGATCGCTAGCCAATCAGAGACATGGGGTGGGGCCGCAGGAACTGTCCAATCAGCACCGCAGCTGGAAGAAGATGGAAACCTTCCACTTTTGTGGAGCTTCTTTTAGGGATCGCCATAGAGTGTCCAGAGGGTCTTGTGAAGAGAACTTGTAAGTGGCTCAGCCTCCTCGCTGTGACCTCCGCCCTATGCGGGCTGAGGCGACCCCGGGAACCCTAGAAGGCGGGGAATGGTGAGTGTGGAGGGCGCCCTTCCCGCAAGGGGAGCGGGTCGCTGTGAAGGGGACGGGTGAGTCGCTGTGGAGGGACCCGGGCCTCCGGCGGCAGCTGCGGCGACTGCGGTCGGAGTCCGGCCGGGCCCCGGGTCCTGCGCGGCGCTTTGCCGGCCGGAGCGGTCTGTGGGCAGCGCGGCCGCCCAGCCCCACGTCTCCCCCTCTGCGGTGGCGGCGGGAGGGTCGCGGGGAGACTCCCGCCGCGGGCGAGGCGGGGCCTGGGAGGGAGGTGTGCGCGTCCCAGCCCCCCTGCTCCTCGGGGTCCCCTGGTTACTCCGAAGTCTGCAAAACTGGGGAAGCCGGTCCCCAAATCCGTGACTGACCCTCAGCCCCGGGGCTTGTGGGCGCAGGAGGCGGACAGATCTGTAGACCCTTCTGCCAGGGCCCCCTACTGGAAATCAGCGCCCGCTGGACATTGGTTTAGAAAATGCGGATCGAGGAAGGCACAGCTGCATTTAAGAGAACCGCAAAGCAGGGAAGCCCAGCTGTGAAGTCTGCAGACCTCTCAGTGGTTGGCAGAAAGGACTTTTCTTTGAGGAGAGGAGCAAGCGGGATGCCAAGAAGGCGCTAGTGATGGGGGACAGGAGAGGTTGGGCACCTGGAATTCTTGGGAATTTTCGGGAAGCAGGTTTATTGACTGCGGGGCTCAGAGAGGCCGTTGCCTAAAGCATTCTGTGGGCGTTAGAGTCTGGAGTTCTTGACTTTGTCCCTCTGAGAGGAGGGGTTTGAAGGTTTACAGGACAAGTGCTTTTTGTTCCATTTTTTGAGACTAGAGGTTTCACAAATTTTTTTTTTTTTAATTTGCAAACCTACAATTTCCAAAAAGAGGAAACTACCACCACAGTGCTGCTATATGCCTCTATGCAGAAGTTTGTTTTTGTTTTTGTTTTGTGTGGTTTTTTTTTTTGTTTGTTGTTGTTGTTTGTTTTTGCTGACATCCTGTTTGAAAGGCTTTCTGAGAAGAATAGGAATCATATGTTGTATATATGGTGGGGGTTTCTGCTTAAATATGGTAAGGGTTTCCAGGGTGGGAGGTCTCTGGCCTGTTTCCCTAGATTAAGGGAGGATGGAGGGTGGCAACCTAATTATACATCTGAGAATGGTTCACCCTGCTGTCAGCCTTCTTTGTTACCTGGTTGTTGTTTGTTTGTTTTGATACTGTCATTGAACCCAGGGTCCTTAAGCACTGAGCCATATCCCCAGCAACAAACCTTCTTCTTTTTTTTTGTATTGGGGATTGATCCCAGGGGTGCTTCACCACTGAGCTACATCCCCAGCCAATTTTGTTTTTATTTTGAGACAGGTTCTCACTAAGTTGCTGAGGTTGGCTTTGAACTTGAGATGCTCCTGCCTCAGCCTCTTGAGCCATTAATATATATCTTGCTTTTATTAATTACCTCTGGCCTTGAGCATTTTTCTTTAGTGTCCTTCATTTTTGTGAAATTGTTTATCTCTTTGTCCAACTTCTTGTTCTGTATAAATAGTATTGTTTTAAATTTAAAATTGATTTTTTATATTTGATATATAGAAAAATGATGGATTTTTGCATATTAAGCTCATGTGTGTGTTGCTACATTCCAGTATTAATTCCCAGAGTTTTTGTTGGTTCTTTGGGGTTTTGTAGGTAGGCCATAATGGCATGTATGAAGAGTCATTTTTTATTTGTTTCTTCTCAGTCTGAATGCCTATCATTATTATTTCTTATGCTTTCTCTGTACCCATTGATTTTATCTTAGGATTTTGTTGTTTAGCCGGTTGAGGTGATCAATTACATGAGTTGACTTTTAAATGTTTGGTCGTTTTTAAATACTTATAGATTGTGGATCAAATGTAGATGCTTCGTAGGATATATGAAACACTGGGTTTGATTCTCAGCACTGCGTTTCAATAAATAAAATAAAGGTCCATCAACAACTAAATTATTTTTTGGAGGGGGGTTCTGGGGATTGAACACATGCCCTTATGCAAGGCAATCACTCTACCAGGTGAGCTACAATCCTAGCCCAACAACTAAATATTTTTTAAAAACTACTTATAATTCCTATTTGTTTTTATTGGATCATTCTGTGTGTTAAAGGATAGATGTAATTTGCCATTATTCGTTCAATATTTTTTCTTTTTTCTTATTTATTTATTTATTTATTTTTGCAGTGCTGGGGATCAAAGCCAGAGCCTCACACATGCTAAGAAGATACTATACCACTGAGCTTGAAAATTCTTTCATCTTTATTCTTAGAAGCAGTTTGTCTTCTCCCACCCCTACTCTGTACTGGGATTGAAACTCAGGGCACTCTCACTGAGCTATGCTCCTTTCCTTTATTTATTTATTTTTGTTGTTTCTTATAATGTCTGTCTCATTTTGTTTCTTGGCACTGCGGACCTCATACATTATGAAGTAGTACTTTTGCATCTCTTACCTGGAAGACATTGTAATGATTGATGTGCTTAAATGTTAGAATAAGCCCAAAAGACAAGGTGGGCCTGGTTCTCCCTGTTTTTGAGTTGCTATTGTTTCAATTTGTGTAATGCATAGAGCCTTATTTACATTGTTTATCTTTTCTCATGTGAGTTTTTCTGGATTGTTTCTTTCCAGAAATTGTTTGACTTCTTCCAAGTTATTTTTCTGTGCTTTATTTAAAATTATCTTGCTCTTGTTCTGCCAGTTATCCAATGTGGTACACCAGACTGTTTAGTTGAGGTCTTTTTTATTTTCTAATATGAGCATTCATTGTTGCAAATTTCTCCCTATGCACTGCTTTTTCTGTGTCTCACAAGAGACATGTTTGTTCATTTTCACATATTTTGAAATACTTAAGTTCCTTTGATGTGTGGACTATTCAGCTATGTATTGTGTGATTTTTGGACATTTTCTAGCTATTTTATGCTATTGATGGCTGGTTTCTTTTCAATATGGTCTGAAGGTGAGCAACTGATTTCTTGCTGAGACCCATGCAGCATCAACAAAGGATCTCAAGTTGGCAATGGGAGATGGAGAAAAACACAGATACAAAGAGAACAGAGACATTTTTAAGCACAGCTGGGGCCAAGTTGGACACTGCCCTCTGATAGTGGAACAGTGACCCAGAAGTACCTTGGCAAGTTGATTATGTAGGGTTTTCTAATCAGGAAGTTTAGCTATCAGGGCACTGTAAATTGTTCAAGGCTTGTGAGTTATTAAGAGGCTTCTTTGTGCACTAAAAAGTTATAAGCTAGAAACTCTTTGCAGCTATCCTGCTGTGCCCAGAAAACGCACTGTACTGGAACATTTGATAACTGTTAGCATCAGAGCCAAGTTTCAAGGCTGTTGACATGCATGCGTTTTGGCAAGGAATGTTTCCCAGGCTTGGCTTTTACCAACCACACAGGATAAGAAATGACCGGGGCTTGGCCATTCTCCACAATTTATGTTCCTTTGGTTTGTTAAGGTGTGTCTTTTAACATGGTCCATGTTGGTAAAGAGCAAAATGGGAACTTTGGCAGTTTAGGAGCTGACAGGCTGTGGTTTTGCCTGTGGACACACAGAAACTGTCTTATTGACATTTAAACATAGAGGCATGAGGTGGCTAACAGGTACCTGTAAATCATAACTGCAGTAACTAAAGCAGTAAACCAAGCAACAGGGACAGAACAATCCTATTTTAGGTTTAATGCAGTAAAAGTCCCTAAGCAGTAAGAGCTAAGAGTCCCTCGGATATTGACAAGCTTGCATCCATATAAAAAATGTAGAATGCACCTTCCAGTAGGATTGCACCAAATCCCTTGCCTTAATGTGCCCCAAATGTACTTATGTAAAAAGTAAAAGCCCTGCTGTGCTCAGGGCTCAGACTTTGGGAATTATCCCTCTGGGCTGTGGCAACAGGAACAATGTATTGCTTCCAGATCTCAGTATCCTGAACCTCATTTCCCACTATAGTGTGATCTTGACAAGAATTTGTACTGAGGCTTGGGATGGGGTGTAGTGGTAGACACACATAGCTAGTATTTGCAAAGCCTTGGATTCAATCTCCAACACTACAAAAGGAACAGGCAGAAGAACGTGCACTCCATAGTGGTTCTACCTGAGCAGATGTCTCTAGTTGATGTCTGATGCTGTTGATTTCAACTATTCCAGTACTGATTTTCTGACTTCTTGATCTGTCCCTTGCTGATAGAGATGAGTTGAAATCTGAAGGTACAATTGTGATCTGTGATTTTCCCTTCAGTTCCATGTTTTGCCTCATGTTTAGGAGTATATATATATTAAGGATTGTTATGTTTTCTTAGAGAATCAACTGTTCTATCATTATTTAGTCCCTTTATTCCTTATTTTGTTTGAGATACAACTTGATTAGTACAGCATTAAGAGAACTTTTAAAGTTATTTTTGGATCAATACAAGAATGGGCATAACTTTATAATTAATTCATCTATGTTTTCATATTGATCTATTTTGAAAATATCTATATATTGTTAATAGATAAAAATGGAATTTATTTGTAATTTCGAACATGGTGCTTTCAGTCAGATGTCATGGGGCATACCTGTAATCCATCCACTTGAATGGCTTAGGAGGAAGATAGCAAATCCAAGACTAACCTATGCACCTTGGACCCTGTCTCAAAATAAAAATTTAAAAATGGCTTGGGGATGTAACTTACAACTGAATGTTCCTGGTTTCAACCCATGTAAACACCTCTCCCCCCGCCTCTCTTTCTCTCTCTCCCTCCCCACCTTCCTCCATCTCTCTCTGACACACATACACAAACACACACACCCACCCACCCACACACACACACAATGTATCCTTTTTTGTGCATGTGTGAGATGGTAGGCATTGAACCTAGGGCCTTGTGCATGTGAAGCAAGCACTCCAGCAGCTGACCTATATCCCCAGCCTTTAACCATTGTTGAATGGCTAAATTGAGCTAATTACCAAATACATTGCTTCACATACATTTTTTTGCGGGGGGGGGGGATGAGGGAACTGTAAACATACTTCTCTAATGATTACTCACAATACTAGATTTCTTGAATTTATTTCTCATATATAAGAAAAGTTTTGACTCTTGACCTGATGTCTTGATAGTTAAAACTTTTTTTTTCATAAAGTGCACAAGGGTGGATCTTGTTTTCTACCAGTCTGTCTGTAGAGCATTCACATTTAAAGTGATTATTGATATGGTTGGATTAATATATACCATATTTGTAAACTACTTTCTGTTCGTTTTACATCTCTGTTCCTACATCTTTTTGCTTATCCCTAAAGAACTTCTTTCCAAAAGGTAGACAAGGAAACACACTGGTAAAACAGTCTCTAAATTTTTTTCTTGTTCTTCTTCAAGAAATTTCAATCATTTAACTTCATCTTAACTGATTCTTTGTTCTCTTTGCTCCAGTATGCCATGGAACACCTATAATGATGGTTTCATATAATTGTTTTAATTGGAACCTGCAATTTACTCTATGGTCTTTTTTGTTTGGTTGGTTGCTTTTTTGTTTGGTGGGACTGAGGATTGAAGCTTCATCATAGAGCTATACCCCCAGCCCTTCTTCATGTTTTGTTTAGAGTTACAGTGTTGCTGAGTTGCCAAGGCTGGCCTTGAACTTATGATCCTTCTGCCTTAGTCTGCTGACTCAGTGGGATTACAGGAGTGCACCACTTGCCCAGTGAATGTCTTTGTCTTCCAAATTGTGTGGCTTCGAAACTTGAAATTACAGTGTCAGTGATATGCATCAATTTATCCTCCATTTATGTATAAACCTCTGTTGTTTTGCTATGATCTTCAATATTTATATGTATTTGGCTTTTTCCTCAAACAAGGACACAGCTCTCTTTTTGGTGTTTTATATTGAGTTAAAATGTTTACTTTATGTAAACAAAATAAATTTATTCATTTATTTTTGTTCTGCATATCAATCTTATGTCTATGTTCATGGTGGTGTTAAGTGGGGACTGAACCCAAGGCTTTTCACATGCTAGGCAACTGCTCTCACACTGGCCTAACATAACATCTCCAGCCCTTTTTCTTTTTGGGTGGGGATATCAGGGATTGAACTCAGGGGCAGTCAACTACTGAGCCACATCCCCAGCCCTATTTTATATTTTATTTAGAGACAGGGTCTCACTGAGTTGCTTAGGGCCTTGCTGAGTTGCTGAGGCTGGCTTTGAACTAGCGATCCTCCTGCCTCAGCCTCCCAAGCCGCTGGGATTACAGATTTGTATGACTGTTCTTGCCCCGCTTTCATATTAATTTTGAAACAGGGTCTCCCTGTGTGCCCAGGCTTCTCTGGAATTTGGGCTCCTCTTGCCTCAGCCTCCCAAGTAGCTGTGATTACAGGTGTGTGCCACAAAGCCTTGGAGCACGCTGTCCTTTTTCATGCCATGTATTGCAAAAATTTTTGTACGTTGTTGTCTTTTACCTTCCTCTATTTTCATAGATGTAAATTGTTCCACTTATTTTTTAGGAAATATTACTTTTTAAATTTGGAAACACTATTTTCTATGTTTAAAAGGTATTTGTGGCTTCTCAAACTATTCCAGTATTGTTTTTCTGGTTTTACTGTGTAATCTGTATTTCATCCTTGGAGTAGAGGGGAACACATTGCCTGTCCAGGTAAATAGATAACTTTTTGTCCCTGTCTCAACTATAGAGAGAATGAGGTGTCTGCCACAGTTGTGCAACACCTGCTGTGTCATGAATCAGTTCTCTGTTCACATGTTGGATGACTGACTGTTCTTTTCTTTTTCAAGATCTGTTAGGTAATCTTTCTGTTAATAGTGTAGTCTTCCAAATTGTGTGGCTTCAAAATATTTTATGTATATTAGCCAAATGATCAGTTTCTTATTCTAATGAGTTTAAATGTTGTTAGACATTAAGTACACCTAGAGGATTTGATAAGCTGGTTATTTTCCTGTTTTCTTTCCACTTTTTTTTTTTTCCTTCGGTTTGGGTAATGATTGCTACAGGCCCTAAAGCACTGAGCAATATCCTTACCCTTTGAAAAAAATCTATTCATTTTATTTATTTTTAATTATTTAAGACAGGGTCTTGGTAAGTCCAAGTTGCTGGGATTATACATGTATGCCACTGCAGCAGGCATGAACTGTTTTTGGTTGTCCTAGTAAAAGTCTTGTTATTGACATTTTGCAATTTTATACATTCATTTACTAGTTACATCTTGGTGACAGTGAAATCTTTCTAAGAACATGTACACTTTTCCCCTTATTTTATTCTGCTCTGAAATTCTCCAACCAAAACTTTAATGATTACCTATTAGTCTACTGAATTATAATTCATGAGTCTTATTTAGTATTTAATTCTGACTGACATACAGAACCTAAGGTACAGGCTTTCAGTTGTGGTCCCTTTGTACAATCCCAAGGATGTACTGGATTCCCTAAATAATGAGTTGTAAAAAGAGGTTTCAAATTTGATCTGACATACCAGTCCACTAGAGATTCATCATCCAGAGTGTGTTTTGAGGACTGATGAGATGGACAACCTCTGTCAATCATACAGAATATTGAAAACATGTAGAGGACCAACAGGACTTCCTGGCTGCATTTTGTTGGGACAACCTGCTTGGGAACCCCAAATCCCTCCTGCAGTTAAGCTGGTGAAGTCCATCCCAACAGTAGTTCCAGAGAGCGACATAGATCAAAGTTTGTTCCCAAGTATTTCTAAGAATATGCTGTCTCAGGACAGCTACTGTTATTATGTGCAGTACATGTTGGACTTTGATGTGAGAGGTACTGGAGACCATTGTACAAAGAGAATTGGAGAGACCCAGCAGCATAGCCAGTGTTCCTGTTCTCCTTGTTTCTGTACCAGTAGGTGCAATTCAGCACCAGAATTGCTGTGTGAGAAGATGTGAGCCTGGCTGGAGAGTAAGAGTGTGATACCAGGTGATGGAGTATTGGGAGGACATAATATCATGTGAAATTCTCACACAGTGAGTGCAGGTCTCCAGTGCTGTGTGTGTAACCTTCCTCCTGGGAATATCTGGGATGTTTTAGGAGTCAGTGACCTTTGAGGATGTGGCTGTGAACTTCTCCCTAGAAGAGTGGGCTCTGCTGGATCCTTCCCAGAAGATGCTCTTCAGAGATGTGATGCAGGAAACCTTCTGGAACCTGACCACTCTAGGTAAGGGTGACATTTTTTCCCTCACTTTGTCAATCAGAGAACTGTTATTACTTGCTTATGAGTTCTGTTCCATGATCTGGAATATGGAAAACCCACATGCTATACTAGCATGGTGACATTATACAACAGATCTGCAAGACTCTGATAGTTTTTTCTGTAATGTTGAAATAAGTCATAATGTTTCTGGGTCTGCATTTTAGGAAAACAATGGAAAAATCAGGCCATCGATGATCACTACAGTTCCAAGGGAAATCTAAGGTAATTGAACTCACAAGTGAAGGCAATGTTCCTCACAAATCTGGGAGTAACTTATAAAAAAAAATCATAAAAAGAAGGAAATGATACATGCCAAGGTTCAAATTAATTTAATCTCCATTTTCTTATAACAGTCCATATAGGTTGAGCATGCATAATTGGAATGTTAAAAATCCAAAATGTTCCATTGCAGGCAGCATCTGGAACAGACTTGATGTCATAAGTGACACTTTCTGGTAGTTTATCGTACACAGACTGTTTTCCATACACAATTTATTAGAATTGTATGAAATTACCTTCAGGTAGGACCCATTTTGAAAATATTTTACTGTGTATATGCAGATATCACAAATCCAATCTGAGTTTTGTCCCATGCTTTTCACATAAGTAGTAGCCAGTTATATTCACAAGTGATAAACATCTTCAGGGTTAATAAAATCTTAACTTGACAGGATTATTTAGAAACCTGAACTTGGTGGTGGTGCAGACTTCTAATCCCAACAACTTGGAAGGCTGAGGGAGAAGAATCACAAGTGGAATGCTAGCCTCAACACTTTAGTGAGGCTCTGAGCAACTTACTAAGATGCTGTCTCAAAAAAAATTTTTTTCAAAGGACTGAAATGTAGCTCAGTAGTAAAGCTTACACAGCATAAAGCCAATTCTTCTGCTAAATCATTAATAAATAAATCCTTAGTAATGTTATTTTCATTCTTTGCAGAATTCAAGTGTTAGAGAGATTCTATGAACAGAAAAAAGATGGTCAATGTGGAGAGGTCCTCAGCCACATCATAGATCCTCTTGAAAACAAGGTACGTTCTTCTGGAGTAAAACCAAGTGAACATCATGTGTGTGAAGAAGTCACCATTGCTGATCCATCCCTAGTTGTGCCCCTGACAGCTCACACTGGACACAAAGCACATGAGTATCAGGAACATGGAGAGAAGCCATATGAATATAAGGAAGATGGGAAAGCCTTGCACGATCCCCAACGTTTCCAGAAGCATGAAAGAACTCACACAGGAGAGAAACCCAATGTGTGTAAGCACTGTGGAAAAGCTTTGCGTTGTCTCAAATCTCTTAAAAGACATGAAAGAAATCACATAAGTGAGAAACCCCATGTGTGTAAGCACTGTGGAAAAGCCTTTCGTTCTTCCAGCTACATTAAAATTCATGAACGAATTCACAGTGGAGAGAGACCATACAATTGCAAACAGTGTGGAAAAGCCTATCGTTTTTACTATGACCTTCAAATTCATGAACGAAATCACAGTGGAAAGAAACCCTATGTGTGTAAGCAATGCGGAAAAGGCTTTAGTTCTTCAAGCCGCATGAAAGTACATGAACAAATTCACAACAGAGAGAAATCCTATGTGTGTAAGCAATGTGGGAAAGGCTTTAGTACTTCTAGATACATGAAAAGACATGAACTAATTCACAGTGGAGAGAAACCCTATACATGTAAACAATGTGGAAAAGCTTTTCATTTACATAGATCCCTTCAAATGCATGAGATAACACACAATGGACAGAAACCCTATGTATGTAAGCAATGTGGAAAAGGTTTTCTTTCCTCCAGCTCCATTATCAAACATGAACGAAATCACAGTGAACAGAAACCCTATACATGTAATCAGTGTGGGAAAGGTTTTCCATTTCTCAGTTCCCTTCACATGCATGAACTAATTCACAGTGGAGAGAAGCCCTATACATGTGAACAATGTGGGAGAGCTTTCACTCATTCCTATGCCATCAGAAGACATGAAAAAACTCACACTGGAGAAAAACCCTTTGTATGTAAGCAATGTGGAAAAGGCTTTAGTTCTTCCAGCTCCGTTAGAATACATGAGCAAATTCATACTGGAGAGAAAATCTATGCCTGCAAACATTGTGGGAAAGCTTTCATTCACTCCTATTTAGTCAGAAGACATGAAGTAATTCACACTGCAGAAAGACCCTACATGTGCAAGCAATGTGGCAAATCCTACAGTGATCCCCATACCCTAAGACAACATTGAAGAATTCACAGTGCCATGAAACATGCATGTGAGCAGTGCGGGAAAGCCTTTAGTCATTCCTCCACCCTTAAAATACATGACAGAATGCACACTGGAGAGAAACCCTGTGTGTGTGTGTGTAAAGAATGCAGAGAAGCCTTCACTCCATCCAGGTACCTTCTTAAACATCAAGGAACTCATACTTGAGAGAAACTCCATGAGTATAAACTATGTGAGAAAGCCTTTTCTGGTTACAGTTCCCTTTCATACCATGAAAACATTCACAGTTAGGAGGAACCTTAATGATGTCAGCAATGTGGGAAAGCCTTTATTCTCAGGTTCTTTCAAGTACATAAAACAGCACACTGGAGAGTAACCCTGAATACAGAAAAAATGAGAAGTCTTTATTATCACATGAACTTGTGAGCAAACATAATAATGCAGCTGCAGTAACTTGTATTTTTGCGATAGATATGGGGACACTTGTTGCCATCTTGGTTCAGTGGGCCCATATAAATGAGCACAGTATGCAGTGGAACCTGCAATAGAAGACCTGTGAAATGATCTCTCTTTGGTTCATATGTAAGAAATTACAGTGGATGAAAACCCTGTGAATGTCTGTAATCCCAGTTTCTTGGGCAGCTGAGATAGGAGGATTGGGAGTTCAGATCCAGACTCAGCAATTTAGTGAGGCCCTAAGCAACTCAGTGGGATCCTGTCTCTAATAAAATGTAAAAAAGGGCTAGGGATGTGGCTGGGTGGCTAAGCACCCCTGGGTTCAACCCCTGGTACCAGAAACCAAACAACAAACCCTGTGAGGGAAAAATTCTTAGAAAAGAGGTGACAGTTGCACATAGTTTCAGAGGAGTATGAAAATTCCTCATATAGCAGAATCCTTTTTTTAAAAAAATATTTTTTTAGTTGTAGATGGACACAATATCTTTATTTATTTTTTATGTGGTGCTGAGGATCAAACCCAGGGCCTCATACTTGCAAGGCAGGTGCTCTGCCACTGAGCTACAGCTCCAGACCCATAGTAGAATCCTATACATGCAATTAATATGAAGAGCATGGTGTAAAGAAATTTGATTAGAAGTTTCCAGAAAATGTAGTACTTGGAGGAAATGTCCCCAAACTTATATTGTGTTCACCAGTAATTCATTTTTAAAGTAGATCTCTGCATTGTGTGTTTCTGATTTGTATTCTTGAAAATAAAGATTGAGGTGAAACACTTGTGCAAGTTTTGTTTAGGCTGTGCTATCTGAATTTCCTAAGTAGTGTATTCTTAATCAAATCAGGTAGTGAACCCTCTAACACTTTGAACCATGTTGGATCAAAAGCAAATTGAATTTTATTTCTAATATGCAATTAGTCTTAGTTTGTATGTTGTTTTTCAATATTTGTGGCTAACATGCCACTGAAGAATGAGTCTTTGTTCATTGTTGCCAACATCCTACTGACCTCACATGATGGGTTAAACCGCCAGTCTGTACTGGTTTGAGAACAAAGTAGTCATCCAGAACATAGTAGTTGTTATACATGTCACCTTTGCACAGGTATGGCAGTCTGGTGAAATCTTCGATAATAAAACCAGCTTTTCTGAACACCTCAGGCAGGCTGTTCACTTGTTCTTCCCAATTCTGTCCCTTGATTTCCAACATTTTTGATGGTTTCTCCCACTTGCCGCCATTTTCCACATAGTGATGAAAAGGAAGGACAAGGGCAAGAATGACTCTGCCTCTAGTTGGTCCAAGACACTTGGACCCCCTTATTTATATATACATACACATACGTGTACATGTATACATGTGTATGTTTCTTTTCAGGGGAAAAATGACATTTTTACATGGATTTTATATTTTTCACAGTGTGATGGCATATTTTTCCATCTTATTGCTGCATCATAATTACACGTAATGGTGAAATTCATTTATACATATTTGTTCATGCCCATGATATGACAGTAGATGTATATTTTCAAATCAGATTTCTGTGCATACATTTTTAGTGTTTGTTAAATGTTTCAAACAAATTATAGATTAACACATATTAGCTTTTTCTTTTAAAAATTTTTATTGGAAACATTGAAAATATTGTGATGAATACAAGTTTTTGTAATACAGATCAGCAACTGAGAAGAATGAAATTCTTTTTCAGTGGGATAGCGATTCTCTGTAATTGGAAATTCACGCTAGACTTCCCTATCAAATTAATTACAGTTATCATCTCTACAACATTTTTTTAAAATATTTATTTTTTAGGTGTAGATAGACACAACAAATGCCTTTATTTTTATGTGGTGCTGAGGATCGAACCCAGGTCCTGCCCGTGCTAGGCGAGTGCTCTACCGCTGAGCCATAATCCCAGCCCACATTTCTTTTTTTTATATTTATAAAATATAAATATTATTTATATTTATTTTTTAATTTTAGACATATCTTTATTTCATTTATTTGTTTTTTTGTGGTACTGAGTATGGAACCCAGGGCCTCGCACGGGCTAAGCGAGCACTCTGCTGCTGAGCCACAACCCCAGCCCTCTACAACATTTCTTACAGCTAAGTCCAAGAAAATCAATTGCTGTGTCAGGCCTGCAGACTAGTTCAGGACTCAAAGAGACCTTTTCCTTTCTTTTACAGTTCTGGGCATTGAACCCGGGGCCTCACACTTTCTAAGTAAGTGCTCTACTGTTGTGCTGTATCCCCAGCTCCATTTATTTTATTTTGATAAAGAGTCTAAGTTGGTCTAAGTACAAGGACAATGAAATATGAGGAACGATAGCACATGAATATATCAAGAGCCGAATTTCCAGATTTCCCTCTCTCCATGCTTAGTACATCCTGTGCCTTTGTTTCCTCTGCAAGAATGCTGTTCTAACACTGCTTGGGGTGGTTGTGGAGGTACACACCTGTAATCCCAGCAACTCAGGATGCTGAGGCAGTAGGATCCCAAGTTCAGGGTCGGTCTCAGCAACTTATAAGGCCCTAAGTAACTTAGTGAGATTCTGTCTAAAAAGAATCTCAACGGTAAAGTGTCTCTGGGTTCTATCCCCAGTGCCAAAAGAAGAAGAAAAAAGAAAACCTGCCTGGGAATCTCTTTGTCCTTCAAAATCGTCTAGGGAAAATGCCACTTCTTCTGTGAGCCTAGTCAGTTTCACGATCTTGTGCTTTATATTCCTTTTTTTTTTTAATCTCCAAAAAAAAGTTTATTAGCATGATTAAAAACATTTTCTTGAATAACAGAGTTTCTAAACATGAAAGAATATCAGTGGCTATACCTTACAAGTAATATTTGGAATTCAATGGACAATTTTATTACCAGCCTTCATTTTATTAAAAACGATCCATTTATTGGCTCCATGAAGTCATGACTATTGCTTTGTCTGGGAGTGAGTCCCAACTGCAATTAAATATAAAAAATATCTTCCATCATAACTGGAGTGTGACCTGCATTGAAGAACAGCTCTAACTGAGTAAAGAGTTGATAAAAATTCAGAGTTGGGTTTTTGTTGTTTAAAAACATTCCTTTTACACACTACAGAGAAATAATTAGTATTTTGGCTTTTTAAATTCCTACATACTGTTTAGAATGGCTTTCCCCAAAGGTCCTCCCATCACATAACTGTGAACCCTCTTCTGAAGGATAGATCCTGGGGCAGATTCTGCAGACTCTGGCCTCCGCCAGTCTGTACTGGTTTGAGAACAAAGTAGTCATCCAGAACATAGTAGTTGTTATACATGTCACCTTTGCACAGGTATGGCAGTCTGGTGAAAGCTTCGATAATAAAACCAGCTTTTCTGAACACCTCAGGCAGGCTGTTCACTTGTTCTTCCCAATTCTGTCCCTTGATTTCCAACATTTTTGATGGTTTCTCCCACTTGCCGCCATTTTCCACATAGGGATGAAAAGGAAGGACAAGGGCAAGAATGACTCTGCCTCTAGTTGGTCCAAGACACTTCTGATATCTTTTAACAAAGTCAGGGGCTGATCACAGTGGTCCAGCAATTCCAGCAGTTGATGACATCATACTGAAACCCCTGTTCTGCCATTCATTGATTCCAAGCACTCTGCATTTCTTCTCCTGAAGTTGCCATATCATAGTTTCAGGGAGTTCAGTGGCATAGATTTCTTCAAAATGAGGGCTCATGATTTTTGTGACTTCTCCATCTCCAGCACCTAAATCAAGAAGTCTGTGGGTTTTCCAGTCTGGATTGATTTTAAGCAGTCTCTGAAACTGATCTGGTGAGAATGCAAACATTGAACCTCTTCCTAGCAACCCACTGACGGATGTTCTAGACATCAACAGGCTCAAAACGGATGACACAAAAGAATGATATGACTGGATAAATAGCCAGCCCGATTTCTCAATGCTGCTGTTAAGAAGATCTGTGTTCCTTGATCAAGGTGACTCTGAACGAAGACAGCCTGGAGTCATTCACAGGGCCTCTCTGTCGCACACCCCCCCACCACCCCCTGGTGGTTGTCCTTCCTGCCGCCCAGGAGGCAGGACCGGGAGCGTCCTCACCCTCCACGCCAGCCGCTCGGACCCCGGCTCAGGCTCAGCCAGCCCACCACAGGCTCATGGGGGCCGCGGCCGCTCGCCCTGACCACCGCCCGGATGACCGCCCGCGCCGGGGAGGAGGAGGTGCCGCAGCCTCCAGCCACTGCCGCAGCCTCCAGCCACTACCGCCGCCGCCCTGGCTCGAGCCACCGCGTCCATCCAGCCCCTTCAGGGCCGAGGCTTGTGCTTTATATTCTCATGACATCTTGTCCTCTTTTTCTTCACAGAGTCAGCACATGTGTCTTTCATGACCACTTGATATGGAAACGTTCTAGGTGCTGAGAGTCAGCAATGATCAAAAACAAAGTATTGTGCTGCTCTCAGGTTCTCATGGTTGTTTAGGAAACTCTTATATTCCCGGTTGACACAGTGGTCAAGAGTATGTTAAGGGAAGCCAGGGTTCTTCCAGAAACCTGTAGTGGAAGGCCTAGAAGGTGTCTGGAAGTGGTGAAGAGTGAAGTCAGACCTGCAGCATGCTCAATTGTGACGCAGTTGAGGCGTGGCTTTCCAGGTGAAAGGAACAATAAGTGTAAAGGCTCAGAGTGACAGAGGCATGGTGTGTTCAGGCATGGTGTTGTGTCTGCTGACCCCTGGCCACTGAGAATGGCTGAGGGAGTTTGGGGACATGAAGGCAGACAGGTGGGAGGACAAGGGAATGCAAGATTAGGAAAGCCATTTGAAGAATTTGTTCCTAGGGCAATTCCAAATAGTTTAGAACAAGCTGCATGATCTTCCACGGAGTCAATATATTCATAGATATTTCAGTCATTTTCATTTAGGGTTCCCATGGATCTCTAGTACACGTCCACACAAGATGATTTTTATGGATTCTTTTGTGTCTACACTTAGGGGTATAATTTTGGGGACATAGAGATGGCTTCCATCAGCTTGAATAGATACTGCCAAACAGTTTTCCAAAATGTTTGTAACAATGTCTTGGTTTTATGCATACCCTATGAACAGATTCTGTGAGTTTTCTTTGCTGATATGACATCAGATTGTGGAGGATAAGGGTGGGGTTCAGAGACTAAGGGAAGGTGGAGGATGGTT